CATGTAGTTACTAACTTTAAAACTACTAATAAAGATATGAGCAAGGCCTCACCTTAATACCAAAAAAAAAAATAAAATCTTATCTGTATTTTTACCCTCTCTTATTGCTTTCTTCAATTTGAATTCTTCTATTGCATCCCAGATCAGTTGCTCATCTTCCTTTCTCTCTTTTCTTTTGTAATGAACCTTGCTTGGATGGTGTTTTAGGTCCAGATCCAAACTCTCTCTTATTATACTTATTACCCATTGATCCTTTGTTAACCTTTGCCAATTTTTTAAGAATTCTGAAAGCCTTCGACCTGGTTGAATTTTCTGGATCTCTCTCTTCCTCATTCCTCTCTGTTCTGTATAGATCTTGTAGTGTTGTAGTTTGGGAGACTTCTTGTGCCTCTGAATTGACTGAATCTTCTAACTGTTCCATGATATGTGCCCGAGGCCGAGGTGAACCTATTATGTGACCCTCTGCCTCTTCCTAAATTTTGAGTCTGTGTTTCAACCTTGAGCTTACCTTCTGCCAATCTACTATTGTTTTTTGTGAATTTAGCTTTCTGACAAATGACTTCTCTAATTTCAGACCCAAATAACCAGCCAGTGTCTTCTTTGTCATCAATTGACTTGCAAGCTTCGATGAGTTTTTTGTTCCAATTTGCTGATTTTGCCAAGTTTTGCCTTCTATGAACCCTGATACTTCTGCTTTATGTTGTAGTAAGTAGATAGAGTCTTCTATTCTACTAACTAATTTTGATCTTAATTCACTGTTTATAAAATGTTCTGGGACTCCAGACTCTTGAACTGCGTCCAATAGAGCTAGTGCTGCTAGTAACAGTCTTTCTGCTGACAAGAAACCTTTTTGATATGATTCAAACTCCTTATTGTTCTTTTCTGTCTCTTATGAAAAAATTTTTGCAAACTCCAGATCTATGCTTTGTGGCTTTAAAAAACCTCTCTTTGGTTCAGAGTTTCTTGATAGAATACTCCTTACTGTTCTTCTTGATAAAAACGCATCTAACCTGCAACTCTTAATAATTTTCTTTGCTGATGTTGAAATTTCCCATGAACCTTCCTTTCTTGTCTCTTTACGTGAAATGTATAGTCTTTTTGGTTCTACCTCCCTTAAACCTGTTAACTCCCTGTTATCCTTCTCTGATTCTGACTCACTTGCTTCTGAAGCGTTTCCTTGTTTTCAAGGTAATATTAGGACGATCTTCTCTAATTTGTCTAGTAGTTATGCTTCCAATTTTTTCTTCTCTTGTTCTCTTTGCTTCTGCCTTCTTTCAAGTTCTTCTACTACTGTTGCTAAGTC